AGAGGGCTCCAGCCCCCGAGTTTAGCCCAGAGAGGGCTCCTGTCCCCGAGTTTAGCCCAGAGAGGGCTCCTGTCCCCGAGTTTAGCCCAGAGAGGGCTCCTGTCCCCGAGTTTAGCCCAGAGAGGGCTCCTGTCCCCGAGTTTAGCCCAGAGAGGGCTCCAGTCCCCAGGTCAAGCCCAAGGGGGCCTCTAAAGACAATATTCTCCCTAAGGATTTTTGGGGGGGGGGATAGTAGGGGTCCGTCCTTGGAGGCCGGGCTGAGTGCCGAGTTCCCTGTTCCGCCATGGCCCCCTGAACTGTCTGCTCCGCCATAGCTCCTTAGTCTGTCTGATCCGCCATGGGTCCCAGAACGGGTACCGCCCTGGAGACCGTCCGTCCCTGTAAGCCTGTCCTGAGAGGCCTCCAGAGCGCCCCCCGGTGGAATTGTTACAGCGCGGGACGAGCCTTCCAGGGGGGAGTAATGTCAGACTCTGTTCCGAGTTTTGTGTTTTGCTCCCCACGTGTTCTATAACCCAGTTTTCCCTCATGTTTAATTATGTTTATTGATCCCAGGTGTTTCTCGTTATGTCTTGTGTATTTAAAGTGTTCCCGGTTCTAAGTTCTTTGTTCTGTTTTGAATGTCGTGTTCCTTGCTACGTGTATGTTCCTGGTTTCCTTGTTCTATTGGATGGCTATTAAAGTATCTCTGTTTGAAGAATTCTCCTCGTCTCCTCGTTCCTCGCTCCCTCACAGTAGCGTTGCGTAACAATATGACACATATGGAGAATAATTTCACGTCACTGCTGACCTAAACATCAGCTTGAGATTTGCTTGGCTAACAGTAAAAATGGATGCAAACCATTTTATTTCTCTTCAAATGATAATTAAATGAATGATTTCCTTCATTAGATCACATGTGCATGATTAAATCAGGGCTGTATCAGTTCGTGGTTGAAATGCTGTGGAATCCTCCTTCACTCTCCTCTTTGTGCAGACAGAGCAAAACAGCTATTAATAGACAAACTCTCAAGCTGTGGACTATGTGAAGGGGGAACGAACCCTCATAACCTACAGAGATATAAAGTGACAGATCAGACGCCTCCATAAAACTCTCATTCTGAACCACGCCAGCTTCAAAACAGCTCTAAATATTTATTTTCTGCGTAACAATTTATTTCACCCATTCTTACACTCTTGAACATGAAGTGATTGGATTAATAGACAGATTTACATTTCAATAATATACACAAATACATTTATTTTATCTTTATTATATAGATAAAATAATATATATACTGTATATATATATATATATATATATATATATAATTCTTTTTAGATAGATAGATAGATAGAACGATAGATAGAACGATAGATAGATAGAGAGATAGATAGATGAAAGGAATGGTTCACACTGATTTCTGCTTCTATTTCAGTTCTCAGCTCTGCTTCATGCACTAGTTTGGAGACGTGTGTGAGAAAGTTGATTCGCACAAACACAGCTCCAGACGCCCATGTGTTGCCATAGTAAGGTTGTATTTCCTAATGGGGTGCTCTTATGAATCACACCAATGGGACAGACGCTCGGCCGGCCTCACGTTCATAACACCTGATGAGAACTGTGACCCTAAAAGGAGACAGCTAAGCCAATCAGAGCGCAGCTACTACTACATCCCGGTCAATCAGAGCGCGGCACGGGGGAGAGAGTTACCCCTCAGCTGTTAAGCACATTT